AAGAGACAGGGTTTCACCATGTTGGCCAGGCTGGTCTCAAACTCCTGACCTCAAGTGATCTGCCTGCTTCAGCTTCCTGAAGTGCTGGGATTACAGGCATGAGCCACTGTACTTGGCTTATTTATTTATTTATTTTAGAGGCAGAGTCTTGCTCTGTGTCCCAGGCTGGAGTGCAGAGGCATAATCATAGCCCACTGCAATCTCAAACTCCTGGGCTCAAATGATCCTCCCACCTCAGCCTCCCAAGTACCTGGGACCACAGGCATGTGCCACTGTGCCTGGCCTCAATGATTAAAATGTGTGACTGCATCTGCCTTGAAGCCTCCACTTCCTTGGACAGGGCATACCTGTCATAAGACAGGCTGGGTCCTTGGGCAGGTTCCTCTCCCCAGGTGGCACTCAGGTGGGAAGAGGTGGGCCTCTCCCTTCTCTGTATCCGCGGATGGATGCAACAATCCCTCCTAATGAGTTATTGACTGCTCTTCTAATCATTCAGCCTGTGCTCCATTTGCTGGCTACATGTTCCTTCACCAATTCATTAAGGGTTCTCTGACTTTCTAAGTCTCAGAAAGCAATCTTCTCTTATCTCTAAAATTCAGGGGACACCTCTGTGTAGCCTCTAAGCACTGACAGTAGTTCCCATTCACTCTGTCCCCAATGATTGAAAAAGAACCCATTCTCAGAAGTTCTCATTTCAGGGTTTGTGTATCCCAGTTTATGTGAGGTGTCTCCCTTATGCCCCAAACAGAGCAGCTGAAAAAGTCTCCAAACCTCTCCAGGTGGTTTTTTTTCATGGGGAGAAAGTGGCAGAACCCCCAGAGACCCCTCTGGAAGGAAGGCCACTTAGCTGCACGTGGGGGTAGCTCAGCCACAGCTGAAGCTCGGTGGATACACATCAGGACCACTCTTATGCATCTCTATGTGACCTTTTCAGAGACAGTTTACCGAGGAATGCAACACGCCGTGGTGATGTTCGAGACAGCGGCTGGGCACTCCTTCAAGTGTGTGAGTGAACAGAGCCTCCAGCTGTCAGCCCACCTGCAGCTGAAAACAACCAACGTCCAGCTTCAAGCCTTTGATTTTGAAGGTGACCGCTTTGGAAATGGTAAGTCAAGGGTTGATCAGGTCACAGACACACCCTTTAGGGACCCCAGCGTAGACGTAAATCTGTAGCTGTCAAAGGAGCAAGCATCTCAGGAGCTTCCTAGAGCAGTGCGATTCCCACAGCTCCCAGGGCCAGGCTCCTCTGCCCACCCGCCACCCGCTGGCCACCTCAGAATCAGGCACCTGCACCCACCCACAGTCCCAGCTCTCCCAAAGCAGGTCACACTCTCCTCAACTCACAGACATTCTCATTCATTTAAACACACACACGCTCAATCAAAACAGCAGAAAATACCACCTGCGACTTCCCTGTATGTCCTGTTGGGTGTAAACTCAGATATGTTTGGAGAACACTTGAAAGAACCTGAGGATCAGTAGGGTCTAAAATTGAGATTTCAGATTAGCTTCTTTTCACCTGTAGAGGGAAAAAAGCAAGATGCAGCAATTCAAGATAGGAGGAAATTCTGTCGGGCCCCTCATCCCAATTACGAGCTGTCGCCTGCAACAGAGTTCCTCATAGCCAGTTTTAGCTTCCCTCTCACTTCTGCTTTGGGTTCTGACTGCCACAGGCAGAGCCTGCCTGAGGGCTGCGCTAGAGGAAAGCAGGCTCCTGGGCAAGGGCCAGGAGCAGACCAGGGTGACTTTCCAGAAAAGCCCTCTTCTCCCTTCCAGGAAAACGGTGCTACAAGGATTTCTACCTTGACCAGGAGGGTCATGTACTTCAATTTCTAAACATCCCTCTCATAATAACTAAAAAATGTGCTGAGTACTTCCCAGTTATCAAAAATAGATTTAGCTGGAAGTTTCGCCATATTTTAAATGTCTACAATATGAATCTGACTGCGCTGTGGCTTCCATTATAAAATTGC